AAAATGATCTCGCTTAGTGTCACACTAAGCTGCTTAGCACGAAATCATAACACCTGTAATTTAGATCTTTCTTTTTTCCCAGTTAAAAAGCGGGAAAAAAAACTGGAAACGCAGGCTACCTTAACGCATCGCTCTATACCGATATTACCCACATTCTACCGTTTATTATAAATTTATAGGCCACCGTGCGGTAGTCGCGCGTGCGATTTTTCATCCCAGTTTCGCCGATAAAGATCGCGGAGTTTATCCCGCTCTATCACGAACTTTCGATAATCGCTCGCGCCCGAGGCCTTTCTCGAGGAAATTTCTACATGGGCGTGTTCGCGCGTGTTTCTAACCGTTTCTACACCCTCCAAACGACAAAAGATTTCCACGAGAGAGATTTATCGGTCTCTCCGCGATTTTTTTTATCTTTACCCGAACTTTCCTTCCTCGTCGAAAATTGATAGCGCACTCATTGCGCTCGTATAATCAAGAATCCGAAATGCGCGCTGTATATGACAATATTTCAAGCATGCATCTAGTAAGAATTTGCTAAATAAAGAAAAAAAATATTGTTCTCGCTCGTTAAGTTAAAAAATATGTTGCAAAACACTGTCACTGTCACGACTACAAATAAATGGAAAACTTATTGGAGATGTTTGCGAGTTATTCGAGTTCGGCTCGAATACGAGCTATAAGAAAATTTCGAAAGTAAGATATCGAATATATAAGTTTATAGAATCAATTTCAGAAGGAACGCTCGTTCACCGCGACTAATTATTATTCGACGAATGAAGTCTGACATCGTCATGCCGAAGCTTTGATCGGGTAGAAGAGGGTCGAAACTTGGACGACACGACCGCGAGAGTACGCATTCGCGCGTGCAAGTATGAAAGACATGTGAGAGAGAAAGAAAAGGGACAGAGAGAGAGAGAGAGAGAGAGAAGCCCTGGATGATGATGGTAGGAGAGGGAAGTCGCTAAACGGCATTCCAAGCGGACCATCCAACGCCACCCAACGGTAACCAACGCATGACGCCCTTATCTTACCACGCTTTGCCACGCTTACGTCGCCTCTACCTCAGTT